GGATTAACAACTTTTGACTGTATTATGACTGGGTATAGAGGTGTAAACTAGAAATGGGAATTAAAACATTTGCGGATAGTTAGTCTTGAAGAAAATTTGCTTGTTATCTTGTTATGTATAAGAATACAATTTTTCAATGTATTAAAGGCAAAGCCAAATACTCGTACTGATAAACTGGGTGTTCTTATTTACTTTTAATTAGATATTTGACTCTTTTCAGTCAAATCCCAGTATATTCATAGCAAAAGTATTTTATCATTGTGGTTATGCAGTGGGATATTCTTGACAGAAGTATTTGACAGACAGTTTTCTAACAGGACATGTATACATATTAGTTTGTTTACAAGAAAAGAGCTTCTTGATTTACTCTTCATGGACATTTTGAATTATAGCTGCACTTTGGCAACAAAGTTTCTAAGCCAGTGCTGTGAAGTCAGCATCCGATGCAACCAAAAAGCTCAAGTTCGGTTTCAGTTTAGCGTTTCCACATCTGAACAAATAGTAAAATTTCGCTTATCTATCAAACAAGGTTAATTCAGTTAATTAAATCAAAACTTTTATTGATATCATGAACACAATACACAACAGAGAGGAAAAGCATATATATCAGTTTATGATTTGCATTGTACTTTCTTCACATTCAACATTGTTTGCTGTATCAAAGGTGCCAATTTTTTAGAACAACTCAAATGAACAAGACTATCTGGTTCTTGCCCTTTTAGTTTCTACAGTATCATGCAGCTTCAGCATAGTGCTTCGGTCGAAATAGATGTGCTGTGCACATACTTTAGTTGCTGCATAAACACTTTTTGGCAGTATCTTGGGTTGTCATATAATAATAGTGGTTAAAGAAGTTAAGCAGCAAGTTGAAAATCATGATAACTCTGTTAAAAGTAGTTTGACATTCTGCAAATTTGAATATGTAATGAATAAAAGTTAACTGCATTGATTAACATTATGCAAGAGTCACATTGCTATCACTTGATGTAAATACATTACAATTTAAAACCAGCCATTTAGGAAGGAATGGCATTTCAATGAACAGCATTATATTAACTCTCGGAGCATTATGGGACACACTCTAACACTGAAATTTTAAAAGTTTCTCAAAATGTCATTTGGGGATGGGACCAATAATTTTGATATCCTAGATTCAAGAAAAAAGTTCATTGCTGAAATGGAAAACTGGGTTCATATAGAATGGAATTTTTGCTGGGAGTCGTTTAATACGAAAAAAAAAGAGTTAATGAAAAATATAAAGTTAAACAAGAAGATGAATATTATAAATAATGTTGATATAAATCAGATACTGACTCGTTTCCCAACTTATTTTAGTTGGTTTCATCTACAGAATAAGGATAAATGCTTAATATATGATAAGTTTGGGGACGCCAGGCACTTTCTCGATGAATGCATGCTTACCTGGAGTGCAAGAGAGAAATATAGAAAGAAGTTTACGGAAGATTTTAAAAGGAACTATTCAAATTTGAAAGATTTCAGAGACAAGAATGAAGATTATAAATATGAACAAAGATAGGATATAAATTCAGCACGGAGAATTTTGAACTTTATACAGTCAAAAGTCGTGTATTCGGACACCCATAATCCGGAATGATCTATAATCCAGCCCAAAGCACAAACTGTCTGCCATGCGTGTTCCTCATGCGTGCATATGCGTGGTATGCTGCACTAATAATTTCGCATGCACTTTAATGTATAACGCACGTATAAACTAGCTAAAATTATTCTAAGGCATTTCAATTAATGTAGCTGACTGTGCTGCTCCCTGATCATCTAATTTGATCCAGCTTATTAATTTTTGCAGACTGTTATTATTACGCCAATTTTATAAAAACTAAGCGTGAACTTTCAATTATGTCGAAAAGAGTTTCCAATTCTGGATTTGCCAAAGGATCTACAAAGCGAAAGCATGTTTCGATGTCCATCAAAGAAAAAGTGGAATTGCTGCAAAAAATGGATAAAGGCATATCCTTTGTTTCTCCAATCATTCCTAAATGTGTTTATCAATTTCACGCTGCTCTGCAGGGGAGGGGAACATCGCGGTGCGCATCGAACTGGAAGTTAATCTGCCAGCACTATCTTTATCTTCAGGGCAGATGGTTTTATTTTATTCAGCTTATAGTTCATTACTAAATGTAGTATTTCATCTAGATGTACTATGGCTTTTATATGATTTAAATCAAATTCATTATAAATATCACGAAGACACATCAAATAGTTTCTGTTTAATTTCTAATTTCGACTATGCGTAATGTATGCTTATGCACACGCTTGAAAAAATTGTTTAATAAATAAGCACATAAATTAAGCTTTTTTTTTTTTGAATTTTGATACCCTTTCGATCATAATTGTTCTGTAGTTCATAACTTACGTTCATATTTTTAATTTTATAATTTCTGCATGCCATCTTACGAGATTTAAACTGATGATCTATAATCCGGAAGTCCTGATGAGTTCGGATTAACAACTTTTGACTGTAGGTTTTTTCTTATGTTTGTTTTTTTCTGCCAGTCCCACTTTTTGATCATATGGTTTGTGTTGGGTAGGAGGATTGGGGCAGTGCCCTTATGGTAATGATGGGTAAATGGTATTTTCTTTATTATAATTAAAAAACGACTCTTTCACTATGTACCTGACTCCTTTTCTTCCAATATATATCCAAACCGAAACTGGATACAATGAATACTGGCAGAAATTTTTATGTGTAATGAATAAGAAAGCCATGCGTGTATACAGAATTTTACATCCATAGCACTGAAAAGATTAAACTATTTCAAGTCAGCTAAAGCATTAAAATGAGTTTGAGGCAACATTTGGCAGCAGAATTGCATTATATAGCCATAAGGTGATTAGAAGCAGTCAATGACTGTCTGTCATTGCAAGACAACCAGTAGTCAGTTATTCCATGAAAAGCTGGTAATTGTACAATAAGTGTGCAAAGTTACAAATTAAGCAATTTTCAAAGCTTGAGGGAGAGGATTGAAATCGTAAAATCAAATCTCTATGTTCTCTTGTTGCACAAAGGAATGTATTTACAAAGGCATATTCAGAAGTAGATAACTGTATTGAAGTTAGTTTGGGAATCATAGCCTTAAAAGTGGCTGCCCATTACTGATGGTGATTTTGCAGGCTTCCAAGAAAGTGTGCCCTGAAGGTACGAAGAAATTTAAAAACATGAGAAGAATAGCAATTGAAAGAAGAAAATTTATCTGAGAATGTTAATGAACAATTACAGTTTTCTGCCACCAAATTTAAGTACTTTTCTGTAGCAGCTGATAAGTCAACAGACCTTATTTCAATAGCTCAGCTGCTTTTGTTTGTTAGAGGAATTTCTGAAGAAAATCTCTTGAAAGTAACTGAAGAGCTTGTTGAAATGAGTTCAACAAAGAGCTGAATAACTGGAGCTAATTTTTTATTCTCCATTTTAAATTTGTGTTCTGCACATAATTTTGATACTAACAAACTTGTTTGTATCACTACTGATTGAGCTGCAGCCATGATTGGAATTCAGAATGGCATGGTGAGTCTACTGGGAAACCATTTGGATGAACAAGGCAAATAATTTGCTTAGCTATCATTGTATCATATAACAAGAACAGCTGTATACGAAAAAACGAGGATTTGACAACCTAACAAAGGTAGTGAGTGATGCAATCAATTTTATTCCCTCACATGCAATTTAAGAAACACAAGCAATTTAGGAAATTCTACATCACATAGGATGCACCACATATTGAGTGATCTTGTATATTACTCTGAAGTATGGTGATTGAGCCTTTAGATGCTTAGGAAAAGTTTGCTGGTTGAAAGTTTGATGAAATAATTTCATTCCTTGAAGAGAAAGGCAAGCAAACTAGGATGCTGGATGCTAATGGAAACATCTTTCAAGTGTTACTTATCATTTTTAGTTGATGTGATTGTCCATCTGAATGACCTAAACAAAAAATTGATGGGAAAAAAACCAATTCATCTGTCAACTGGCCAGCGCAGCATGTGCTTTCAAACTAAAACTCCAGCTGTTCTCAAAGCAACTTGGCTGTCAAAATTTTGTCTTTTCCTTACCTCAAAAAATTCAAGGAAATTTTTCCTGATAAATAACATGATTATTCAGCTGGTTTTAATTGTCCTGCCATTTTCTCAAAGAAGTATGTTTGGTAAGATAAATACGTTTTTTTTTTTTTTTTCCTTTCCCATGATTTAGAACATAAGGACAAAAATGATTATATCTTTTCTCATATACTGATTGATGTATGGTGAAGATTTAATTAGTTATCGCTATAAATATCATGTTCATACAAAAGATGCGTTCAGTTGAGCTTAATTATCAATTGGATGTCTATGAGTTAGTTTGTCACAAGAAAGGCACCCGAAACTGTTGCTCATACCAATACCATTGAGAGCATGTAGAACAACATAAAGTGTGAGTTTTAGCAAATGGTGTCTATGGCAGTCATCATATGACATTTTGTATTTCTTTGTGGAGTTTTATGTGGCTTCGTCAATACCAGGATCAGGAGAAGGAATATCAATTCCAGAATTGCACGATTTGCATTATGTTATATGCAGCATTGAACCAATGCTGACAGGAAGACATGAAGTGAGTATTTTTGTAGCATACATTTTTGCCATTGTTTTGGATGGCAGCCATTTTGGAAACATTGGTATTTGGACCTATTCTTTGCATCACAGAAAAGTTGCAAAAAATATTAAGAAGCACTCTGTTGTAAACTTTTACCAAAAATTTTGTTATTTAGAACAAAACAACAGCAGCTTCCAGCCCCAAAATCTGTCCTGCACAACTCCATTCATGCTTAAGTGAAAATCTTTTTCATTGTTGATTATTATTATTATTTTGAAAAATCCATTTGAATTCAGTTGAAAAGATGTTCAGTTTTATTGCTGTATATAATTTAGATATTATTTTAGTTTTATTACTGTATATAATTAGATATTTTTTTTAACACTAAAATATATTACAGGATTGTCGTGGAGCATTTCCACTTGTTAAATGTACCTATTGTAGAACTGAATTTCAGGAGATGTAAGTATTTTTTTGATATCTCTGAATTTATTATATGTAATGAAAACTGCTTCACTGAATAGGGTAGAGAAGAGTTATAATTTTTAATCTTCATTTTTTCTTGGCTAAAAAAATTCATTGTGAATTATATGTCAATTTTAAACTTTTTATAAAATCTTTGACGTTATAAAACTTAAAGCATTTTAATATATTTGAAATCTGTTTGAATTTCCGTAAGAATTGTGAATTCCATGCATTTCCTCAATTTAGCATTTTTTGTTTATTTGCTGTGAGTTATTATAAATTGTTGGCCAATTATCAGATTAAAATATGTTTAAAATTATTTAAACAATAATTATTTATTAATTAATTTAAAATAAACATATTATTTAGAATGATTTAAATTTTATGTATATTCATTTTGAATGATAGCATGTATCAATGAATTCACAAATGTTGAATTTTAACATGTATTTTCAAAAAACCTATGTGTATTATCCAGTTCTCTGAAATAGCAGTACTATCAAAGCATTATCAGGTTAGGTGGAAATGTGCTGAACAAGAAATTTACAGCTTATTGCTTTAAGTAAAATTAAAATTTGAGCTCATAATATAAGTTAAAAAAGACTGGAGGTAAGATTAATTTAATGCTCCTAGTTCTTTGTTGTTAAATGAAAAATGTTTCTCAATTTGAAAGGGAAAGATTTAGGAAGATAAAATGATTTATCTGTCTTGATATTACTGCCTGATCTGTCTTGATCATTATGTTGTTGGTGAGGCACTGTGTGCAGGAATCTGGCAACAATGAATAGAAAATTGTTCTATTTGTCGTTATGAAGTATTTGAAACTCTGATTCCCATGTTGAATTTGAAAACTGGGAAGCTAACCTAGTGCAACAAGATCTTGCAGCTTATCTGATGCTTCTACTTTTCACGTTCCTGCACTGTAGACATTAGAAGCTTTTTTTCTACTTAGTTTCAGTTTTATGCTCCAAAACCTCAATTCATCTGAAGCCATATTTCAGCAGGACCTTTATTCCTATTTTCTCTGCATTGCTCAATGCTATCCATATGCATTTTATCCTTAAATTTCTTAGTAGCTTATTTTATCTATAAATGTGATGATGTTATGACTAGTACAGTTAGTATTATCTACAGTCATCAATGAAGTATATTGAGGAACTGATAGAATCTGCTTGGAACGGTATTTATTATTTTGAAACCCATGCATAATATCTGTTATGTATTCCACATTATGTACAATGTTACTGCTTTGCAAGTTAGGTATATGAAATGCTCATAATTTTGTGTTTCTCTTCATTAACAGACTTGTAACTTTTTTATCTTATACCTCAAATCATCTTCAAGTAAATTTCAGTGCTTTAACTGAAATACTGTTGTTGCACTTTCAGTGAACAGCATTGTGTAAAAAAAAATCCTTTGAGCTATTTTAATGAGCTGTGTTAAAATGCTAAAATGTGTTGTGTTTCCTTTTGAATTTAATCTATTAGTTCTTGAATTTTTGTTGAGAATATTTTCTGTTTTTGGGGAGCATCATTTTTTTTTATACGCCCAGAAAGGGCTGTTAGTCTTGAATTTGGATTTTGCATCAGTTCACTATAAATGGCATATCATTCCGCAGATTGTTGCGACCAAATGATCACCCTGTATTATTTTTAAAGAAATTAACGAATGAAGAATCTGCATTAATGTATGTTATGTTCCTCGCATTTGAAAAAACGATGGTACCGTAAGTCATCAAATTTTGAATAAAGTAGTCCTCACCTGAACATGTGCACCTGGAAGCCCGAATTTTGAATTTGTGTTATTATTTATTTTATATTCTATAAAATTTTAAGGAATTTTTGATGAATAAACTCGATAATTATAAAGCAAGCAGTGCCAACTTTGTTTGAAATAAAAGATTTTTATTTCTGGTGCAGGAGGGAGACAGTTGCCATTTGGAAAAATATGATATTTATATCTTTCAATTTTAATTAACAAGCTTGGTATATGAAAACAGTATGTAACCATGGCCAGAAATAAAATACATTTTATCTTCCACATGCCAGCATGTTGCCATTCAGTAAAGCCTAAGATACTTTCAAATTTAAATTTAGAAGATATCAAGTAATAAACTAAGCAGTTTAAAAGCAATAAACACAGTTCTTAAAAATATTTTTTCTCTTTTTTAATGTGATTTTTTTAAATAATAATATTAAAATCATGAGATGTCTAATTAGAAATATTCAATATTTTTATGAAGTTACGCTACTTGAATGCATTAAAATCATTATATACTTTTTCTTTTTTTATAACTATTAACTGGCGCCATGTTTTTTGTGTAACAAAAATAATATATAATGCGTATAATAAAAAACTAGTGCAGCAAATACAAAAATATACATGGCAACCTGTAAATACTCTATTCGGAATTCTAAAAGTATGCTATTTTTGAATATTTTGTGATTTTGCGTGAATTGGTTTAGTGCCTATCTTAAGTGCACCAAAGTGAATTGATTAAATAATAGTAACACAAAAAAAGTTAATAATAAAAAGACAAAACATTTTTTGGCAGCCATCTTACTAACAAAACTGAATATTAATATGATAAACTGAGAAAGACTGAAATCCATGCTAACTCTTATCGCTGCATTGGGAGTTCTAAACATATACTGCTATGCAGCTTCTAAAAATTTTATGATTCTGTTGTTGAATTGTATGTGATATAAGTGTGAAGAAAACAATGTTTTATAATAAAGCTCAAAAGATCCCTCCCCTCAAAAAAGAGGAGGTTAGTTTAAGTGACTGGTAGACTGCGAGCTCAGCGAAAGCATAAAAAAACTTTAACAAACCCTTACGGATGACTTAAAATCTGAAAACTTTCAGGTTTTATTTTATTTTTTGTACTTATTAATTTTAATTTCTTCAATATTGGAAAAACTTGCATTTTGTTTTCATGTAGTTATACATTATATTTATATGTGTATAATTTCACTCATAACAAAAAAATTAAAAGAAAAAGATTATAACCATCCTAAAAATTTACTTTTAAATTGAATTGAAAAAAGAGAGAAAATGTTAAATTTTATAACAATGTAAGATGCCAATTGAATGAAAAAAAAAATTTTTAAAGTTTTAATAAAATTTTTTTATAGAATTTTAAAAGAAAGTGCTAGTCTGTCATACCATTACAAACAAGATTCAGATACATTGTGTCCGAAAATGCGAATGGCGACTGCTAGAGGGTGGCAGTGTTGCAGGCTTAAGCCAGAGTGGGGAATATGATCATTTCAGGTGAGGATGTTGCAGGAGAAGAATGAATAAGTTTACTAACTCAGTTCTTTATGAGCATTTTGTGTAACAGTTTGTGGAAAAAGTATTGCTGGATCTGATGGCTGACATTCTAGCAGTGACATGTTGAAACATATGGTTTCAGCATGATGGAGTGCTTACACATTTAGGAGCACTGTGTGTAAATACCTCAATAGGATGTATCCTGATTACTGCGTTGGCAGAGACGGACCAGTTAACATGTCTACCGCCATCCCCCAGCCCTGTGGGTCCCATCCCTGGATTTCTGCCTGTGGGTATTCATGAAGACCATGGTGTACAAAACGACTGTAATGTCAGGCATGAATTTTGTCACCAGGATCGGGTAAATTGTTAGCAACTTATCCATAACACATGTGTCCAGTTTGAGTGAATCTGTGAATTTATGTGTAGACGTTAGGAAGCATGCAGTTTGGCAAATGGAAGGAATGGAATTGTAAACATCTTCTATGATTTAACCATGTTCTTTAATAAAAGTCATATTAACACCTGTTTTGACCTCCTTTCTTTCTTCCCCTTTACGCTTGCGAACATTGCCCTCTAGCAGTCACCATTTGCATTTTTGAACATATGTTCTTATGTGAATCTTGTTTGTCATGGTATGACAGACCAGTTAAGTTTGGCAATGGCCTTTTGTGAACCCTGTGTGTGTGTGTGTGTATATATATATATATATATATAATAGTTTACTAATGATTTTATTAATAATTTTTGTTTTAGCTCTAAAGGAAGTACTGCCTCTGTTTGCAAAAAGTGTGAAGTGAATGTCAAACTTTATGGCAAAGTATGCAGCATTTTACAGTTTATAAACAATTTAATGTTTCTTATTTCTCATAGTTGATATTAAATGCAGTAAATGTTAAAATTATAGCATTGTATTTATCTTTACATCCAACATTTCTTCCATAATCTATTTTCTGATGTTGTCAATTTTATTAAGTTTATTTATACATTTTCTTTGCGGTAGTATTTTATGAATTTGTTGATTGTAATATTACATTTTATGTTTTCAGCTGTGCTGTTCTGACATCAATCTGTATACAAATTTTGTTAATGTTTGAAACAGTTTTCTGAAAGTCTTATTTTAAGATGCCTACTAATTCATTTTGGAGCTCAGCAGTGACCATCCGAGTGGTTACAGCCATAATAATGGCAGTTTGATCCGAGAGAAGTTTCCTGGCTGCGTGGTTCAGTTTTGTGGTTTTTCTCACAAAAAATAGGAATTCAAACCAGTGTCCCTTAGAAAGTCCTCCATGAAGGCATTTCTTCTCTTAGGCAGATAAGCCTTTGTGAGCTTTTCTGTAGTCGAATAACATAATCTGACCTTATTTGTTTTGGATTGTTTCATTTTTCTAAATTTTATTTGGGCTTAGTGATCAACATTTCAAGTACTTTAAAGGATAGCTTAAACTTGACACATAATTACTGACTGAAAATTTTATGAAAGTAAAGTGACAGTTTCCCATAATTGAGTTTCCAGTTTATGTAAACTTTTGTATGGGTTAGGAATTGGGAAAGAATGAAGAAGCAAGACTATAATTTTTAAACCAATAAGTTTATAATGTTGATCATAAATCTTGTCCATTTAGGAAGCGTATTTATAAGTAATTAAAAAAAATTTCTCTGCATTCGTAATAGCCTTATATTTGCAGATAATGTATGCCTAAAACTAAAGTATACTATTAATATAAAACAAAAATTTTGATCTCAGTATTTTAAAAATAGCTGATACTTTAAATATATAGAGCAATTGTAGTGAAAAGCCTTCTAATAGTTGCACAATATTTTCTATATTTCTCAGTATATTTTAAAAGTATGCTGTAATTTTTAGATATTTATTGGGAATATGTAATTTAAAATTTTAACATTGGTTTCTTAAATATGCTGGAGTTTTGAGATGAAAAAGAGACTAGATAAGATAAAATTTTAGTATATCGTTTTGTCTGTCATGGTAATGTTTGCTTCAAAATTAATTGAAATTAATAGTTTTATTGAAATGCAATAAATTAACTAACACCTAGTGCTAAACTCAATTAAAATAATTAGTTTTTATGAAAAAGTAAATAATTAAAAGATTATAATATAATATATTAAAACTTGTGTGAAAAACTTAGAGAATTTTAAAATTATGTCTGTTTTTTTTTTTTTTTTTTTTTTTTCAAAAAGTATTGAAGCACGAAATGATTAAATGAGATGTCTTATGGTATCCGTAAAAATCTTTATAGTAGTAGAAACCCCAGGTGGGGGAAAGAGAGACAATGAGATACATAAAAAATATACTGGTTTAGCAAACACAGTTATCTAAAATCGGGAATGTTCAGCTGTTTTACGATTTACACATGTGTACAACATTAAGATAATTTGTCAATTACAACTATTCTTACAAAAAATATTAAAACAGAGGTACTAATTATGCCACTAAGAGTTAGTTATAGGTATTTTATACAGTCAATTCAAAAAAAAAAAAAAGTCTTTAATCCGGACGTCCATAATCTGGAATCTAAATCCGGACCCGCTGTACCAACTTTCTGCAAGCTCAACCATGTGCAAGGAGTCAACCGCATGCGCATTAATGTAAGGACGGTATAAGCTATCTAAAATATCTTCAGTTATTTTAAGATGCGTGTTCCTTATCTTCAATTGTATCCACTTATTATTTTTTGCAGACTGTTAGAGCAATTTTATAAAAGTAAGCTTGAACTTTCGATTATGTCAAAAGAATTTCCGATTCTGGAGCTACCAAAGGATCTACAAAGCGAAGTATGTTTCGATTTCCATCAAACAAAAGTGGAATTGCTGCAAAAAATGGATAAAGGCATCCTTTGTTCTAAACTTCGAATCTGTTTATCAATTTCACTGCTCTGCGGGGGGGGGGACGCGCGCAATGAACTGGAAGTTGACGTCAGCACTATCCTTATCTTCAGGGCAGATGTTTTTATTTTATTTGGCTTATAATTCCTTACTAAATGTATTCATCTCGATGTGCTTGCATCTTTGATATGATTTAAATCAATTTCATCATCATTATGAATATCACGAATACACAAATAGTTTTCTGGTTGCAATTTTCTAGTTTCGACTATGCGTAAGTATGCTTTACGCATGTGCGCGTTGAAAGAAATGTTTAATAAAGTAAACAAATAAATTAAGCTTTTTTTTTTTTTTTTTTTTTTTTTTTTGTAAATTTTGATACCCTTTAGATCATAATTGCCTCTTTATTTCATAAATTACGGTTTCATATTTTTAATTTTATAATTTCTGCATGCCATCTTACCAGATTTAAATGATGATCTATAATCCGGAAATCGATCCGAATCGCCGAGTTCGGATTAAAGACTTTTGACTGTATTCAGTGTCAAATATGTAAATGTAAATTTGTGTATCCATAGAGCTGTAATTGTGAAGGAGTTGGGATATTGGTGATATATGTGCTTGTATTCCTTAATGACATTTGCTGTGTTTCTCGCAAGAATTGTGTAAAATTTATAAGTTATCAGGCAAAATGATTAGCCAGTAATGTATGGATGATGAATGAAATGGAGAATTGTAGCTAGATTGGAGGCAGGCCAATCACAAGGGCTACAGAACTCAATGTAATGTCCTTGTCATCTACAGTTTGTTGAAACAGTTTCAGTACACTAGATCCATATCAAAAAGACTTGGACAAAATCAACCAAGATTCATAATAATGAATGAGGGTCAGTATTAGTCACTTTGAGTCAGGCAACACAGGGATGCTACAACTTCACAGCTCTCACATAAGCTGTATGCCACTACTGGAACCAGAATTTCACATGCATACTGCACTCTGCAGCACACAAGAAAATACGTGTAACTTGTAACAAACAACATGTGCCTTGGACTTCAATGGAGCAGCATAGTTTTTACAAATGAGTCGAGATTCAGCCTGGATTCTGATTCTTGCATACCTTATCTAGAGAGAGCCTAGAACATGATGCCATTCCTTCTTCATCAGGGAAAAATATTATTACGGTGCTAAATGTCAAATGGTTTGGGCAGGCATTATGTTGGACGGCTGTACATCTCCGCATGTGTTTGACAAAGACTTCCTGCTGCTGTGTGAAGTATATAGAGATCTTTGAGCCATATGCTCAACTTTTCAGGGATGCAGTTTGTCTTGGGTTCCCCTTAATGGATGACAACGTCCACACAGGGTTCAGCTAGTTGACAATTACCTGGAAAGTGTGGATATTCATCGCATGGATTTCTCATCTAGATCTCCTGATTTTAAACATTTAGAGCATGTCTGGGGTACTCTTTGGGTGGGGTGGGGGTAATTTCTTCTTGCCATCATCCTCCAAGAAGCACTCGTAGCTAAAAACTGCCTTGTAACAGAAGTGGAATTGACTGCCACAGTACTTCCTCAACTGTCTGCTGTATAATATGCCATACCATATCTCATATTAGACATTTTCAGTTTGATATCACAACATATATTTTGAACATCCCTCCACTGATAACCATGCTTACATAAAATCATGTTTGGTAATTATATCTCTTTTGCTGTTATAAATGTATATTGACACCAAATTTCGTTAAAATCTGTCCATTAGTTTTTCAGAAATTCAGTTTATTGTGCAAATTTTCTTAATCTTGCATGTAAGTGTATGTATGAAAATCTATATGCATACTCGCACACACACATGTATATATATAAAATAAGAAAACAAATCTTTAATAAATTACTAACTTAATTAGCAATAGCTCTTTAAATTTTTTTTTAGAATTTTATGCGGCCCTGCCCTAGCATCTGCAGTGCATCAAAATTTCTTTCAGCTGGGTCATTTCTAGATTAATTCATACATACGACATAATAATGCTGGTGATGTAGCTAATTCGGAACATAAACTGAAGCTTTCCCTTAATAAGCAACTTAAACTGAAACTGTTCTCTTAGTGATCTTCTGTATTGGATAATTGCATACTTTTCTTTCTACCTCTCTTCTCACTTGCAAACATAACATTGTCTGGCTGTTGCTTGGTTTCCTCTGTTATTTCAGAAATGTAATAAATGATAGATAAATCATGCAATAATTATTTTCTGCCATAATATAATTATGGGAGGAAAATATCTTTCAAGAATGTTTGAAAATAAATTATGTATTTATTCATGGCATGATTGTCTGCTAAGCATACATCCTTCTATACAGTTATGCTATCACCACCTGGTTATTGGTCAAAGATTCATTCCATCATCACTAATTATGCTTATTTTGACTGCATTTATGTGTGTGTGTAATAATTTATAGGGTACGATGAGAAAAGTTAATGGTTAAAAGAAAAGTTAACCAGTTAACTTCTTAATCATAGCTGGTATAATTTGCTGGTGAGAGTTTTAATAGACAGGCAATAGTAGCATAGATGTAACTTAGACATGTTTACTGCGTAGATGGAATGATGGATGTGAAGACAAGCATGGCCGAATTCAGTGTAATTTTATTATTGGATAAAGCAATTCTGGAGACACAATGCTTACTTTAACATGATTATGGGAGTGCAGTATTCACCTCACAATTTTGCTTACATGGGAACATTTAAGAACAATGGAAGAATACGGTTAAGCAAAGAGACATCATAACAAATGATTTTAGGCAGCAAAAACGAGACTGTGCAGAAGGTAGCTGAAGTATTTATAGGTCAGAAATTGTTCGAGTTCTGGATAGCCATTGGCCAAGAGTTTTCGCAGTGTAGAAGTGAAGGAGGTCATATTTATATTTTAAATCAGAAATTTAAAGGTCTGTTGTCAAAATTTTGTTAATGGTTGTTTTTCATATTTTATATTTCACATGCATGCAGGCAGTATAGTTATCCTATTTTTAAAGTATATTGAAAATAAGATTGAATACATGCACATACCTTGTGCATCGCATTAGAAGATAAAGAACACCATAAAAATATACTGTTGCATGCATGTGCACTAACAGTAGATTGAATGCACGCAGCTCTGATGATAGGTTGATAAAATTTATTTTATCAAAATAAACACTTTAGAGATCTGGAACTCCCCCCCCCCCCCTCAAAAAAAAAAAAAAAAAAAAAAAAAAAAAAAAAAAAGAAATCATACAACTCTTCACACTTACACTTCAAACTGGTACGAACGTTAAATACAACAGAATGCAAAGTGCAGCTAAAGAGCGAAGCTAAACCAGAGATAGTACTCGGAACTTGTGCCTGAGCTAATAGCTGACAACAAGAACTACAACTGACAGCAGATGCTCTCCGGCCTTATATAGTTTTCACCTAGCCGTCAAGATATTTCTAGTACTTTCTGCTTCTCATGATAACTGGAAAACAACAACGAGACTGGAATTACAGTTACAGCTAATATAGTGATCAATTACATTTATTCCTTTACAATAGTACCTATTACGGTGATACAGGAACTGGACGAAAATTTCACCAAATGTGGTGACAAAAATGAGTTGCCAAAACCATTGCCAGCTTGGAGGTATCTCACCAAATTGAGATACCCATTTACTCAATGTTAAATGGATGTGCCCCGGTATTGTTACTTTTCCAGCATAGCCTGGCTCTTTAAATTTTTTCATGTTACATTACATTGAAAAATACAACAATTTCACATATAATTGTATTAAAATCATCTATCTATGTACAAATTTATAACACTGATCCTTTCCCAAGGACTGCATACCCTTGGCACTGCATAAACTTACAAATTTCGAAAGAAATAGGACCATGTCCTTGTACTATTTATATTGTTAACACTATGGGGCTACATACTTTGGCCATAGTAAGGGGCTAGCCTGTCGTAATGAACAACTTTAGGCTTAGAATTTGGTTACTTATGCATCCAAGCTACGATGTTGTTTAGCCTATGCAAATTTCAAATGAACAAGAATTATATCTTACTAAAAGTATTCCAAAATTTCAACCATTCATGTGGATCACTGGTAAATTCAATCACATTTATTTTCGGAAGCGTGAAACTTGTTGGCTTCATTTATAGATACATGTGTCAGCGAATTTTTCTCCATTTTTACAGCGACTTGTTTCACTTTCATCGTGGCTGCTATTAATTTCTTTTAGTAAGTCTCGCACGACTCAATCCTTTTGTACAATACTCAATCCTTTTGTTCAATCTTTTGTTCTTACAAGGCTTTAGATTTCAATAGCAGATCTAATATTTCTTCATCCAAATTATAGTCGAATTCCTATCTTCCAGAATTTCCAGGAATGATAAGGTTCAGTTCCGATTCGTTTAAGTGTTCATTTTAAAGGCTGCATGCAGTGGAATTCTTTTTACTTTCAAGGCTTCCATTTCTGTTTACTAAATGATCAAAATGTTCTTTACCCTAACTAACTCATCCTGGCGCAAACGCTACGATTTAATGTGGTGATCTATTTTTAAAATATATTGAAAATCAGATTAGATACATATAATGTGGTGATCTATTTTTAAAATATGTTGAAAATCAGATTAGATGCACATATCTTGTGTGTCATATGTGTGCATTGCATTAGAGAATAAAGAACACCATCTTTTACGAAAATATAATTTTATTTACAGGTAGAACCTCCATGCGACATGACACTTATCCTAGCTTCTGATCTAAACATACTTTCGTTTCGTACAGGCAACACATGTGCAGTGACAAGATAGAATTACAAGAGAAGCGTGGCAAGTACTGCCATCTCTGAACAAATTAGAAACCAAGTTCTGACAGGCAGGCAGAAATAGACAGATAAAAAAAGGCCATATATAAAATTGAATTTGTTGCATTATGCGCATTTAAAACTGTAGCCATAAATTTTTAAATTTATATATTATAACAGTAGGTCATAAAAATTGTTTTTATGTATATATGCATAACTCTGTACTATGTAAATCTGTTGTGTCTTTAAATAGCCTACTGCATGTGAATATTGCAACATAATAGCAGCATTCATTGGTTCAAAATGTCAGAGGTGCACTAATTCAGAGAAACGTTATGGACCACCGGTAACTTGTGAGCAGTGCAAGCAGAGATGTGCATTTGATAGAAAAGATGATAGTCGTAAAAAGGTATTGCTGTTTCTCCTCTTCTTTTATCTGTTGTTTTATCAATACTTTAGAGGCATGTTATTGTTTTTACTTAAAAATCAGAAGTTCTTACTAGTCAGTGAGGCTTCATTCATTAATCTGCCATAGTATAAAAGTACTTTGCTTATTCAGTATAATAAAAATAAGTTTAAAAGTCATTTTATCTGTACTTCTTAACATCATATTGCCAAAAGTTAATTTATGCAGTTAGTATAGTAAAAAAACAAGTTTCTGTGCCGTATAATATGTCAGTTGCATTGTGTATAGTCATCTGTATAAAAAGTAAAAGGGAATGATGATTAAATTTTGGTAATAACAAATTTCAGTCTTCTTTATACAAGAGTGCCTTCTTAAAATTGCCAAATGCAATGTCTGTAAATGCTTACTTGAAAGCTTGTAGTTTATGAAACAGTGTCGATGAAAAAAGAGATTATATGGAAGCTCTGCATCTGTTTACTCTTATCACTGACTATATTACAAGTTAACAAAACATCTTTTAACTATCCAGATTCATTCTTCAGAAGTTTCAGCAGCTTGCTAAGAAAGTTGTCCAATAGATTTCCGAAACTTTGAATTGAGCACGTAGTTGGCCTTCACATTTTTTTATCAGTCATATTCAATATTTTGTAATTTGTAAACTATGTGTTTCATGTTGTATAGTCACAGGACATATTTTACGAACATTTAGCCA